TTCTTGCACTGTAATGATTGAAGAGTATCTAAATATAAATTTCTTTAAAGAAAGAGAATTGCAGCAGATGAAGCAGATATTGCTCTTCATTACAAATTATGAATGATAAATGTATTGAATCAGATAGAAGTGTAAACAATTGAAAAGCTGGAAAAGATCTTAAATAGATCAGATATTGATGTTGAGAAGGATTGAAATACAAAACTGCTCTCTTGATATGATATAGAAATTTCAATGTTATAATAAAGTTGTTAATATAATATACTGAAAGAACTGTATGAATTCAAAACAGCATTTATAAAATAAAGACAATTACATTCAATCATTTAACTATATGAACTGAGAAAAGCTGTATATAGATTTCAATGCAAAATGAAAGAAATCTTTGTAAATCATCTACAGACTTTTCTTTAAAAGCTGTAAGTCATGATTAAATTCGTTATAATTTTTTGAAATATAGCAAGCAGCAATAAAAAAGCTCAGATTGGCTCTATTTATACAGATGCAGTAAAAAGAGCCTTGAAATAGAATAGAATGAATAGTTGTAATTGCTTGTTTATTTTGCTCAGGCCTTCCTATACGGGCCGTTGCAGCAACGCGGAGAAACAGAACGAGCCTCACGGCTCTGTAAGGGATCTTTACGTAAGCCCTCCAGGCTTCGCAAATCTTAAGGATTAGCTTAGGATGGAATAGTTAAGGATTAAGGGCAAAATTGAACAATCTTATGGCTAGCTTTTTGATACTAGTTACCGCTATCTTCTTCCTAAAAACAAAAGAAAAAGAAAAATAAGGGAATCCTTCTTCTTAAAGAGACAGAAAAGGAAAAAAAAAAAAACAAACAAAACAATAAGCAAGACCTCAGAAGGAAGGAGAACAGGGCCTCATAAGGAAAGAGGTTGTAAGGATATACAGCTCGAAGGATTCGCCAAGAAAAAAGGACCCACTACACGGAAGGAAGGAACTGCTGTTCTCTCGCGGGAACGGCCACGTGGCATCACGTGAGCGTAACTTCTCATTGACCAATCAGAGCGCAGGGATTCAGCCAATCAGAGCGCGAGAATGCTTTCCTAATCCGGATGACCGAAAGAGGAAATTTTCTGGCACGAAAAGCCTATATATATTGCTTCACTCGCTACGCTCGCTCCGCAAATAATCAACAAGCTCTATTCAATTACAAATAGAATGAATATGATTGGTGTGTGTACATTGTAACACTAGTATAAAAAACCTATTTGACACATTTGTCACTAGAGGCTGCCGTACTTCTTCCCGGGATTTTTTTTTTTTTTTTTTGCTTTGCAAACTCATAATGCCGCTTACTCTTTGTATTGTCTGGTGGCCTGGATCTCAAGTTTTTGTATGCCCTGGTTCGGTTTTGCTATTTATAAAAAGGACATCCCTCCCAAGCTTGTAGGTGTGGGATAACGAACTGAAATTCTAAGTACGATGGATTTCCCTCTAACACCTGGTTTCCCAGGCCAAAACATATCGGGCAAAAAATTGTGGCCAACAGTTTATAAGACATATATCATGACACAGTAAACTATTCATAAACTATTATCACTAACTTCCACTTCAGTCCACTATCATACACGGGGACAGTTTGATTCAAAGAAGCAGAAGGCTATCCAACGACGAAAACCCGGCTGCCACCCCTCCCTCATCACATTCTTTCCCCTTAGTCCTCAACAACCAGCCTCCCTGCTCATTGTGCAATATCTCGCCGTTATTCCTCCAAAGGACAGTACCAAACATTCCTAATTCACTAATAACATGCCCACTAAGCACTACCCCATCACTACGCAGCATCATGTTTTTAGCCGCATCAGGCGGCTGAATCAGCTCCATAAGAATCCATCCCTTCCAATCCTTCTCCGGGATGGAACGTAGGAATCCCGGAATCGCATCGCGGTAGACATTGTTGCCACCTCCCTCACGCTGCGGTTTCAAGACGTGGTGAACTGCCGTTGAAGGGTTGAGGGCAAGATCGCGACCAAGACCGGAGGTCGAGAGGTCGTATTGCGGGGCGAACGTTGCGCGGATTTTTTCGATTGTTTCAGCGTGGGTTTTTGGGAGGAAATGGGCCAGATGGTCCGTCTCTGCGTGGGGGTCTGCGAGTTCTTGTTGCACTTTCTTGCTGCCGGAGAGCTGGCTAAGGACTGAAGGGCATTTTATCGCCGCGGATCGCTCTAGGTGCGTTCGGGCAGCCCACGCGGAGTCGTCTGGGTAGTCAGCCGGTCCGTAGAAGCCGCGTAGATAAATTGTTGTCACCTCGAACGTAGTGGTGACAGCGTGGGGGGGAGTGTATATTAATGGCCTGGCAGGGTTGGAGGAGGGGATGGAGGTTAGTCCTAGGATATCTGTCGTTGTGAGTCGGAAGACGGGGATTTTGTGGAAATCAGTAAGACGGGTGGACAATTCCAGCTGATCGAATAGGTTTCGCTCCCCGGCTTGAACGACGAATAGGATGCATAGCGGTAGCGGGGATTCTGATTTCGACGGGCCATATGCAATATGGGCCGATGCAAGACCGTTGGCTAGGGTCGTAACGGCGGTATTTGGTGGGGGCTTGTGGTCTTTCAGGATTGGATGTGGCGGATATGTAATGGGATTTCCAGGGGGCAAAGACAAGAGATCCGTGTGTAGTGCGGTGACAAGTGTTGAGAGGCCCCCAAATGAGGAGGAGATGGTGTTAAATTCTACTTGTTTGAGAGATGGCTCTGTTGAGCCAGGTGGTCGATGGGTGATATAATCGGATCGGAAAAGGCCTAGAGCGAGTGGCTGAACGTATCCTTCCCTTTGTACGTTGAGATGAACCTTCCAGAGGTTTGCGATGAAATCATCCACGTCCTTGAGTCTAGCGCATCGTCTCAGTCAGTAATCGGAGAGCGGTAGCGGAAACTTAATATAGAAAATTTCCCATTTTACTTGTTTCTCTAAAAAAGGGTGCTACGGAAATAAAACAATTCAGCTCACTCTTCAATAATCTTCCCCAGCCACGTTTCATCGCAGCTTATCCTCGCATATAATTCGTTGTACTCTCGCTGGATTGCCGTCGCATAGTCAAAGCAAGATTTGGGGAAAAGGCTGGGGAAAAGAGTGATGGGCGCATTAGTTGCTAACGCGTGTTGGGAATCCAATTCAGTCTCGATAGGGGCTAGCGACGGTTTGACGCAGAGTCCGTGATGTAGAGTCCATGCTTTTACCGTGGAGAGAAGGTATTCTTGCTGCTCAGGGGTTAATGGTGGGGGATAATTGACATATGCGGAATTGTCCATTGGGAAGAAATACAGGCTTGATAACGACAAATTGATGAGAGCGCTCTATCTGTCCACCTGCATTTCCAACGCCAAACAAATGCGGGGAGGGACTCTTGTATATAAATAGGGTCAAAGAGAAGTCGATATGTAATGCGCGTCCTCCGTTGTTGGTCAACTCTCGGCCGGAAAAACTTGCAGTGGGGGGTCCACGAGCATCCACCAACAACCCTTGATATATTCAGTCAACCACGTCTCTGTTCTCTCAATGCTAACGTATTTCTTCCCCGTAACGATCCCGCCTAGCCCAACCATCACCGAATGATGTGCTGGGAGTGAGCCGTCTCCACTGATCTGATTACTAATGCTGTTGATTGTTAATTAAACGCCCCCGCCTCACCATATTGGCAAAACAATCTGTTGGAGCTACTACGGAGTACGGAGTTACATAGATACCACCACGGCGCTGGTGGTGATTGAGCTCCTTTGCCCTAGTGGCCTAATAGTTTAGTGATGGACAACAACGTAATCCTCCTACAACGCCCTATCCCACGTGACCCGCACACATCGCCACTAGATAGATAATAACAACTAACCAAGGTTCTACCCTCTTAATCGTCGCAGATATTCCGCTGCCAGCGTCATTCACTGGGTTGGCGTCAAATAGATCCAGTTGGAGATCTTGTCAAGCTAGCTCCTTCGAAGCGCTGGGTAGACAAGGCACAAGCCATGCCTAGTTGCTATTCTCAGCAGCATTCTTTATTTTAATGCTTTCTTTGAAGTTAGCTTGTGCTGCTCTGAATTGGGCGCTTAGCGCATCAGGGTGCCAGAAGCGCCAGCCCTTTCTTTCCAGTCCCAGACAACACAACTAATGTACCTCTGCGCTCAGTATGAATGGAGCAGTATTCATTTAAATTGGAGTTAATTTGCCGTTTAACTCATTCCCTACCCATTTTCCAAGTTGCAACACTGTTTAGCACCGCTGGCCGATATAAAACTGATATCCCGGGAGCAGTGTTGCGCCATGGACGGTTTCGAGGATGACGATCCCTTTGAGTGGTCAATCGATCAAGTTATCGCTCACCTTTGTCATTCCTCTGCGCCGTGGGCTCGTTCTTCGCTTCCTCGTCCCGACTCAACAACCCTCGAGACATCCCTTCGAGAGAATGATGTCACGGGAGAAATACTACTCACAGAGATAAACAAGGTGACGCTGGCTCAAGATTTAGGTTTGAAATCACTTGGGCAGCGCGCTACAATATTTAGAGCAGTCGAGGAACTACAGAAGCGGTCGCGAAAATACGCAGAATATACACAGTCGCGCCAGGTCAACCCATCTTATCCTATCGAAACCACACCCCAAATCGCCCCCAGCTCGAGCCGCCCCCCCGAGACACCGTTTCATGCCATTCCTTCTGCTGGGGATGACCCCGCTGCGCACAGTAGGATGACCACTGTATCCCAAAGTCCCAGCAAGGCATCGGAGGCACAGAGGCAGGAAAAAGCTTATTTGGCAGCCACAGGCAGTGCTTCAGTGAACTGTCGGTCAAACGAGGCTTATGTCATTGATAGGACCGGGAAAAAACGTCGCAAGTTATTCCTGAGACAACTCCAGTCCCATAGAACTGGGACTTGGGAGGAGGACTCTGGGATTAATCGATCTTCTGCTTATCTAGGGCCTACAAAGGTGACACTTCCGGATCTCTTTTACAATAACATGGAAGACAGTGACGACGAAGCCTTTGTATTGGAGGGAGCAAAATGCCCCATTGGCCAAAAACGTTTTGTGAACAAACGTGTCCAGCACTACTTTCTAGAGGAGCACTTCTCAATACAAACTAAAGAAGGAAAGAATGCCGTTGCCATATTTCCATACAGCTCGAAAATTCTACCTCCGGGCGAACTACAATTTTTCACTCTATTCACGCAGGACCAGGGGATTGTCAAGGTCACAAAAGAGGACATCATTGACTGGCCTCAATTCAAGGAACGAGATGAATTTGACTACCTGCTCGACAAGTACCCAACTGAGGCAGGTCAAGGCTTACCACCTTACGGGGATTCTGGGTCGGAAAACGAATATGACTCCGATACATGGCAGGAGATCAAGCTCGAGGAACAGGAAGTAGAAGTCGAAAAGCAAAAATCGAAAATACTGTCTGGTCCAGAAGTTGACGGCATTATTGACAGATATATTGAGCTCACTTCGCGAAAGTGGTGTGACCAGAAGCTGCCAATTCATCAACGTAAGGCTCAACGGCTGTGGTTGTCATCGAGAAAGAGGGATACAAAATATTCCGAAATCAAATCTGCACAGAGTACCATTGCTCATTTAGAGCGACGTTTGAAATCACTTCGAAAGGCCATAAAAGATACTTCCTGGTCAAAGGTGAACGAGGTACAACAACAATGCCAGTCCATGGAGGAGACTCTTTTCAATAAGGAAGCACAAAAGTGGAAAATATCTGTGTTAGAACTCGACACATGTCCTCCAAAGCCTCCATCTGCGGCTGCTCCCGCCAAGCGTCCAAAGCCCTCGATACCCGAGGATGAGGAGTGGCTAAGCTCTGAAGGCAACGATGAAGATATCGATGATATCAATGATTTTATTGTCCCGGACAATGATGTGCCTGTTTCGGATCGATCGGGGGATAAAAGAGAGCCTTCCAGAACCGCTCCAACCTTGCCCAGAGAGGCACAAGTTAGTGAAGATGTTCCTATACCCAGGTCTTTGCGAGAACAACACGTTCAAAATTCTAGTTCCTCAGAACCGAGGTCTGTTCGACAACGGTCTGCTGAGCATGTTCTGTTGAAAAATTCAACCTCACCGGCACCATTACGAGAGATGAAACAGTATCTTCATGGGCCGATTGAGGTTGTAGATTTAACAAAAAGCTCGGATGAGACATCTGATCATAATTTCGATATTCAAACTCCGCCGCTGAATCCTGTTAATGATACCGCACTTCCGCCTCCTTCACCGCGATCGCAACTGCTTCACGACTTCACTCGGGTTAAGAAACAAAGACAAGGGACATCAGAATTACAGGTTTTAGACCCGGTATACATCGCGGAAACAGCACGTATAGGCTGGTCAGTGCTCGAGGAGCGACTCGACCGTGACCGTTTATTGAGCAAACTAATTTGGTCCATGCCTCAGCAGGAGCGTCGTGATTTGCACCAATTAACCAATTCAATCGAATTAGAAAAAGCAAAAAAGCGTGTCCGGAAAGCTTTACGCAGTGTATTACATCACTCCTATCAAATCCAAAATAGTCGCAAGCATACCCTATTTTTGAGGATAGCCGCACTTTATACATCCTGGCTTCGCTGCAAAAAGATATCGGCCATGCAAGGCATCCCAAAAGCGTTTATTGAGGGTACACTGCGGGATAAAATTAGTTACGATGTTTTTCACCCTAAGCTTTGTGAAGCTCTCAGAGCATTTTCAGACGTGAAAGATCCGGTAACAAAGGCTGCTGCTGGGAAACCACCGGAAATTTCCACCAACAAAAGTGATGAGCCGGAACGTTCCACTTCCTCTCAAATCTCTGGGGCTGAGCAAACTCAGGACCAGGATCTTCAAGAACTTTCCTCAGGTTCTGAAATCGAAGCACACCGCACTCCTCACAAAAAACGAAAAAGAGCTGTGAAAGAGAGTCAAGAAGCCATGGACAGTCAGAGAAATGCTCAGCGACGTGTTGAGCTTCAGGAAAAGCAACGGGAACAACTTGCCCGCAGGCTACGTGGAACGGGGATAAGCAACACAGATCCAGAACGGCAGGTTGTTAGCTTTGATGATCCGGTGATATATCTTCATCGCCACATCGGTGCGCGAGTGAAACCCCACCAACTGAGCGGCATTCAGTTCATGTGGCGAGAATTGATTAAGGATGAGAAACGCCAGGGGTGCCTTTTAGCTCACACAATGGGACTGGGGAAGACGATGCAGGTGTAAGTATGCCTTTTTTTACCTAACGAATTGTTTCTAACACACAACAGGATATCGCTTTTGGTGACCATCGCCAATGCCGCCGCCTCTGACGACCCTAGAGTGAGGAACCAAATTCCCAAAGCCCTTCGACGTTCTCGTACCCTTGTGCTATGTCCGTCCTCGTTAATCGAAAATTGGTGGGAGGAGCTTTTGATGTGGACGCCTAGTGACTCTCAGACCAGCCGCAACATTGGACCGTTTCGCAAAATTTTGCCCACACTTCAACTTGAAGAACGCCTAGACGGGATAGCATCCTGGTACATGGATGGTGGTATTTTGCTCATGAGTTACGACATTTTCAGGGCATTGGTTCTCAATAAACAACAAAAATTCGGCCCTCGGCACTCGATAGAAAAACTCATGAAACAGTTAGGAAGCATCTTCTTGAAGGGCCACGCATTATTGTCGCGGATGAAGCTCACAAGTTGAAAAATAGAAATGCGGGAGTTGCTGAAGCATGTCGGGAATTCACGTCAAAAAGTCGCATTGCATTAACAGGGTCTCCTCTTGCTAACAATTTGAGCGAGTACTATGCAATGATAGACTGGATCGCACCCGGCTATCTTGGAGACTTCGTACAATTCAAGGCCAAGTATATTGAACCGATTCAGGAAGGCCTCTATGCGGATAGTTCACAGTGGGAACGTCGGCAGTCATTAAAGAAGCTACAAGTTCTGAAAAAGGATATCGATCCAAAGCTTAACCGAGCAGATATTTCAGTCCTCAAAGGGTCTCTTCCACCAAAAGTTGAGTTTGTAATCACCGTTCCGTTAACTCCACTTCAGGAACAAGCATATAACACTTATGTCGCCGCCCTTGCGGCTAATAACGATACTGCTGGGAATCCAAAACTATGGGATTGGTTGTCGATCTTGTCACTCCTGTGCAATCATCCAGGTTGCTTTATGGAGAAGCTCCGAGATCGAAGCAAAGGTTTCCAGAAGCCGCCGTCAAGCCTGGTGTCCCCTGATTCCGATTCTGAAATACCAGAGGACCCTTCGATACCTCATGTTCTCCTCTCTTCTGAGGTACTTGCAAGGATAGAGAAAGATTTCCCCACCGGCATGGACATGTGGTCACTCGAGCTGTCGCACCGAGCACAAGTAGCGGATCAAATCATTGAACGCTCTATCGCCGCAGGGGACAAGGTGTTGTTATTTTCACATTCAATCCCGACCCTCAACTATCTTGAGCTTGTTTTAAAGCAAGCAAAACGAAGCTACTCCCGACTTGATGGGAAAACGCCTATTGCTACACGCCAGATAGCTACGAAGAACTTCAACTCGGGTTTCGACTCGCAAGTTTATCTGATCTCAACAAGAGCTGGAGGGCTAGGCCTCAATATCCCGGGAGCAAATCGGGTGATCATTTTCGACTTCCAATTTAACCCTACATGGGAAGAACAAGCCGTTGGGCGAGCGTATAGGCTCGGGCAGCTTAAACCGGTGTACGTCTATCGCTTTCTCGCAGGCGGGACATATGAGGATGTTATGCATAATAGAGCCGTTTTCAAAACCCAACTTGCATTTCGCGTTGTTGACAAGAAGAACCCTATCCGCTGGGCGTCCAAGAATATTAGTGACTACCTTTTTAGTCCAAAGTTCGTTCCACAAAAGGATCTTTCGGAGTTTAAGGGGAAAGACCCAGCGGTTCTTGATAGGATTCTTGCAGGGCAGAAAAACATCAGAAAGATCGCACTCACAGAAACCTTCCAACGTGAGGATAACGACAAGTTGACTCCCGAGGAGGAAAAAGCCGTCCAGGAGGAGCTTGACGATGAACGGCTCAAACGGAACGATCCAGTTGCATGGGCCAAAAAGCAGCAGGTGCAAGAGCCGCAGGCGACGCCTCGACGATCAATTTTTCCTCATTCTCATCCTTTGTCGGTCATGAGAAGCGCTCAACATCTTTCCAGTTATAGAGCATCTGATCTTGTATCTTTATCTGCAGATTCTATCCCGCCAATGACCAGCCTGGCCGTAGGTCCACCTGCGCTGACACCAGACACAAGCCTCTTCAGACCTGCCAACCAACCAAGGTTCACAAATGAGACCAGGGTATTGTCATCGTTCTTCTCCGATATCAACGGAAATGCGGCCCCAACACCACTGGTGCCGTCCCAAGCCAGCCTCAACGGCCCATTACTGCCCAATGGCGACGCAAATCAACCCTCTATTCCACCACCACCACCAGCAGCAACAGCAGCAATAGCATCATCCAGTAATATCCCGAGCAGCTCAAAAGTGGACATCAGTCAAAAGAGACCTAACAATGTGGACAAAGACGATGGACATGTAACAGGAACCAGTAATGCGAGTAAACATCTAACAATCGGGCAGGAAAACCAAGTCGAGACAAATGCTGTCTCTGCTGTTGGAAAAGAAAGCGAGACACCTCAATCTAAGACTGGTACGTCAGGTTGCCGTCAGCAATAGGGGTTTGAAGATTTTTATTGTTTTATCTGCGTCGCAATTATTTATATAAATCTGTTTCTTCTTCTAACATTAAAACTCTCTCCCTCTCCTCCTTTGTCTCCCAGTGTAACTCTCTAACTACCCTCCATGTCAACTGAAATTCAACAACTCTACCAACTCTGCCAAGGTGGTATTGCGATGAATATTCTTCGGGAACTTCGCATACATTACCCAAATATGTGGCCCAGGAGAACTACGCTACTCAACTTTCATTCCTACTTCAGGGAGGCAACAGTCGTACCCAGAGACTAGAACCCTATGAAAGACAACTTTGAGACACTACTCTTTTATCACCCTTTACTATGTTTTTTCATTTATTTATTTTTGTCCCTTTGTCCATTGCTCTCTTTCCTGCAAGGTTCAGCCTTTTTTTACTTTCAGTTTCAACGATAGATACCTCATATATGTTTTACTATTCCTTAACATTATTGCAAATTCAGGCAATTGCCCCTTTTCCCCCGATGTTCCAGCAATTCCCATTTTCCTTCTATCTTCCACCTTTAAGGGCCCTTGGACACATGTGTAGTGCGGAGGTATATAATATTCTAGCAGGAACTGAACAACTAATCAGCATGGTATCCGGGACAGAGGTGTACTTTTCTTTTCATGTTCTGACGACGTTAATGCCATGTGTCTCTGACTAAACCTACTACTCTCTCCTTTTAATTGCTTGTTTTATTTATTGCATGCTTTTGTTATGACTGCATACTACAGAGGGAGGTGGAATTGCTTTATTTCATCTGATGGGTAGAACTGGTGAATTTGGTATGGGAAGTATATTAGAAATTGATTCAGTGCTGTTGTTTTTCTAATGACATACTTCTTGATTTTATCAGGGGTCAATGAATGTGGCATGTATTGATAAGTTAATGCAATTAAAGATTTGCCACAGTATTTATTTTTTTTTTCCCCCCCCTTCTAGAAATCTGTCTAGGGATTCGATCAAGTTATCTATATAGTTATGGCATTGCAACTAAAGTCTCGGATTATCTATGAACACAATAGAACTTCATATTCATCCCATATATTTAGATCACAGTAATCAACTTTTACTAAAGCAATCAGCATCAATTACAGTTAATATCTATTCAGTTCATACTGTGAGGTTTGAGCTTTCTGTATAATGCTTAATCACTATGTCAGCAGCAGATGCTAAGATTTATACAGAGAGTATCTACAATTAATTCATATAAGATCTCCTGTGAGTGAGCCTGTGTTACAAATCACTCATGATTAAACACTGGATTTTTAACACATATAGAACAATGTTTGTAACCGCAAATTTATTTCAGAAATGTTTATTGAAATTGAATGCAACTAAAACAGGTGAAGAAAATAGAAAAGATGGTATTAAACATGTTTCTGATTTGCATAGAGGCCACTATGTTTTATTATCAGAGAGGCAGAAGGAACAACTGTGAGCATGATTACAATGGATATTTTTAACAAATGGAAATAAAGGCTAAGTGATGGGTAGGTATAGAAACGAAAGGATGGGACAAAGGAAATGTAAAGATTGTGTTACAGAATTTTCCGTAAATCGAAGTCAACATAGATAGGTGCGAGAGGAAAATACTAGGGTCAGGGCAATTTCTTAAATCAAAATGTAAAGATCGGGAAGCAGTTTAGCTGAGAATAATAGGAGATTGGGGTTAGTAGCAGAAAACGCTGCAATCTTACTGAAGTAATTTTTCCAAGTCGGCAACCCGTGACATTCTATCATCACGCTTCCGGTCTATTTTTTCTCTAAATGCTGTCGTCATAAGCGTACGTTTCTCTTTCTGCTTATCCAGTACCCGGTCTTCAATACTATTTTCCATCACAAGACGCCATATTGTCGTCGGTCGCTTTTGTCCCAGACGATATACACGGTCAACAGCCTGGTCTTCAATCGCAGGAGCCCACCAGCTATCAGCAAGGATAACTTGATTTGCTGCGACAAGGTTAAGGCCCACGCTGCAGACGTTCAAACTAGCAAGAAGGACGGTGCAGTTTGAATCGTTTGATAAAGCGTTCATTGCTGCATCTCTTTTGGCAGAACTCATTTTGCCATCTATGCGAGCAAACGTGATGCCATTTCGCACCAGCTGGGGCTCGACTATGTCCAGGAAAGATACCCATTGGCTGAACACTACAGTTTTCGTATTGGGTGCTTGGCCCTTTGCTGTAAGGATTTTCAACAGGGCTTGGATTTTACTGCTGGTAGTTTCGGGGTCGATGTCAATTTCGTTTGTGTCTTCGCCAAAATCAGCGGAGGGGGCAACTAGACTTTTGCAGTCTTCGATTTCCGCTCGGCAGAGAGGGCATTTGTGTTGGCGTTCAATGGCTTGCTCGATACAAGAATAGTCAAATGTGTGAGCACATGGAGTAATGACTGGCTGTTGGAGAGTATCAAGGCAAATGGCACATATTTCTTGACTTTCTATTTTAAGCTGAAGAAGAGCTTGAAGTGCCTTGATATTTTGAGGGGTTAGTGCTACCACCTTGTGCTCCTCCAGCATTTCCATAAGGTTGTTAATGCGATTTTGGCAAAGCTTCCAGTGATTACACACTTGACGCATGCGGAGGAGAACTTCGAGAAGAACAGAGTATGTTGCCCCGCCCTTTTTGTTATTGGCGTTGGCGTGATAGTCCAACAGGACTCCCTTGGCTTCCGCCCTAAATTCATTCTTAGCTGATTATTGGACAAAAAATAATTGTGAATTTAATATATTCAGTACATACTGCAACATATCGTATTTCTCTTGTTCGTGCGGAAGAAATTTGACACGAAGTACGTGGGAAGAAAGGGGTGGGAGGCGGAGGTTGATAAAATTCATTTCCTTCTTCCGTCGTAGACAGATGGTACCCATCAAAGCTTGAAGGAGAAGATTTGCATTAGGCTCACACGTTGTAAGAGGGCGAATTACAGCGCTATTAAAAACTGCCAGGTCTTCAAGCCCTCCCGATATGCGTAGATATTTTATTTGTGAGTATAAATCTTTTAGGTTATTGATGATGGGTGTTCCAGTGAGAGACCACCGGGAATCGGCTTCCAACCTGCATGCAGCGCGTGCTCCTCTAGTTCGTGGGTTTCTGATTGTATGTCCCTCATCTAAGACGATACGTCGCCAGCGCAGAGAGAATAGCCCTTCTGATGGCTTGGGATTCAGTGGTTTGTTCTCAATCAGAGCATATTCCGATGCAAGAGCCCCATATGTAGTAATGACTACATGGTACGTATTGAGGTTTTTTGCCTCCTTCTTCCCAACTCCGTGATAGATCAAAACTCGAAGGGCTTGGTCCTTGTGTATATGGTGTGAGATTTGATCTCGCCAGTTGCTCATGACGCCAAGAGGTGAAATAACAAGAGTCGTTTTCGATGAGTCCTTTGTTCTTGGAGTTGAATCAGCTAAAATAAGTGATATAGTCTGTACTGTTTTCCCAAGGCCCATATCATCCGCTAGAATGCCGCCACTGGCAAGAGGAGGTTCGGTAGCCGTCGTATAGTTAGTTGCGATATTTGTAAACATATGGCCTGACCGTTTCCACAGCTGGACAACGTCTTGAGATCCTTTACTTGGCAACTTCGGTGATTCTTTGTCCAGCATCCACGCAAGGCCTTGGCGTTGGTATGGAAGCAATTCTGTTGAAAGAGCTTTCGGACATGAGGCCATTGGCATCCTTGCTAGTTCCTCTTCGTTGCAAACTTTTGCCACACTGGCCCATCTCTCTAGATGAAAGGTTATACTTTGACCAATGATATCCTCTAGCGAGCATTTCGTTTGTAGGTTCATTTCCAGATGGAATATATAGATTTGCGTACGTTGGGTCTCCCGAGGATTGCCACTGTTGGCCTTTGCCATCAACTGGAGACCGCCCTGATTTGCGGCCCTTTCGCGGGTGCGCAGCACTCTTCTCCGCCTTTCCACTTCGGAAGCGTTTGATGGCTTTGAGGGGAAGGCGATCGCGCTCCATCTTCTGCATTAGTTCCAGCTGTTGAACTGGGTGGCTAGTCCCATAGAGTTTAAGCTGGATGGGGCAATCAAAGAAACCCTTAATGCCGGATAATACACCTTCTATGAGCAGCGATCTGGAGTCCTAAGTCCTTCTTTTAGCGAGTCCCAATTATTTTGATAGCCAAACAAACCTACCATATACGGCGCTAACTTGCTAGCAATAGTACGAGGCAGATGTCCAATCTGCACCCCCATAACGTTATCAACCCGGATTGCATTTTTATCATAACGATTACTTGGCTCTCTTTTAATTGTTACACATTCCCCGATCGTTGCGTGCCCTGTGTAATACCTAAGGCCAACGACCTTAGACGAAAGAGTATCTTTGGACGGTTAGCAATTGGACAGAAAGGTTATGGAAGGATACGACACGGTAAATACCATATAGCTGGAAAGTAGTATAGGCATCTTCTTGGGAACTTTGAGATACGTCCACAAGCTCCGAGGCACCACGGTCGTCCTCATCTGTCGGCGTACCTCCTCCTCCCTGAGCCGCGAGCGAAACCAGGTTCTGGGGAGAATTAGCGATTCGGTCACCGGGAGAAATTGAATGACCGAACCTCGCTTCTTTGCGTGGTTGATCGCTGGAGTCCGTGAGATCGATAAATTCAATCTTCCTCTTGCCTTTTAACGAAACCATTTCTGCTAGATGTCAAGCTGGGGGACGGTTGCTAGGTACATGTACATATGCCAAGTAAAAAAGAGAATAGTAAAAGAGGTTGGCCGATTCCATGGAACTGTGGAATGAGAGCCAATGCGTCTACACGGAGCTGGATGGAACTGGCTGCGACGGAGAGAGTTTGCTCTGGCGTACCCGAAAACGCGCTAATGTCGCGATATCACGTGGATTGCTCTCTCTCTCTCTCTTTTTTTCTTTCCCAGCAGAACTTCTCGTGTGTTTCAGGGCCCCTGCCTGAGTGCTCGCAACGGGATGGGCAAGATGAAACGTGGAGCCATGGAAAATATGGCCAGCCGATAGTATAGCATACTTTGACTGCTTAGTTTTTCGGTGAAACTGCGCCAATACTGAGCTGGGCAAGCAGCACCAGCTGAAGAACAGGGCTGGCTGCTTCGTTGCCTTAGTTTTCTGCAGGGGCTGGTGTCTTATTGGCCTTTCTCAGGACATTCGAGGATGACCATGATTGGGGCCTCTTAGCGAAGCTGTCTGGCATCGTGCCTCGTCCAGCTTGCCCTGTCGAAATCTTTCCTTCTTCACTGCAACATCTCGCGATGTTGCGTGCTTGAACGAGTCAGCAACGACGGAGTAGTTGGGTACGAGAAATCCAAATGGACCACGAATTTCTTGTCCCCCCACTACCCAGTTATCCATAGCTACGAAATATGGATGAACTTGCTGTCCCGCCGTCGTACCTCGTTGCCGTTCAGCAACTGCACAGCACGTATGACGAAGCCATTGCTGCTGGCCGGGTCAGGCCATTTCTTTTCCCCCATAGCTTTGCCCCATTGATCATTCTTATTCTCTCGCTCCTTGTGAAAACCCACCGTAAAGGTCCACGGAAAATCATGAAATACCTCTCGTTTGGTGCTGTCGCTTGTTCAGCATTATATAACATACTTCACTCTCGAATGTACCTTGGAGGCAATGGCTGCGTCGTCGGAATAGCCTCCTTTTTGGTAC